ACTAGAAGTGCCACCGATATGTCAGTGGGCCTTAGATGGCACCAGAACAGCATCCATGGGATTTTCGCGACGAACAACTTTTAACAGCAGTGTCAGGTGATATAGGCCCCAAAAAGCCTTCGATTGGCTGAATAGCGTTGGAAAATTCTGCAGAACTGTTGCTGCCTCGAGCGACTTATGCACGTGTAACGTCAGGTTCACAAGGGAATGTTGACGCACGTCACGGAGGCCGGGATAGTCCCAATAGCATTTGCAGTGACCAGTGGGATGTAGCCGGAGAACGCACTCACTCATACAGCTCTGGATCTCTCGTTTTCTGCGATTCCGATGGGCGCCGAGCGTAAAAAACAACCCGAATCTTTCACAGGACGCGTGGCAAGCAGCTCAATTCAATTCAGTCCAGTTTATTTGAGGGAACTAAAATGCGCACCTTTAAACGCCCTATTTGTTATGCGCAGCGGAAGTCAATCAGTAATTTGGAAAAAAATGAAGACCAAAAAACTACCAGACGAATTTTTAGTTACCATAGGAAGTGAAAAATTAAAAATATTAGATCTAAAAATCATACAGATAGACGAACTCTCTGAAGCGTCAGCAATAACGACAGTTAGATGTGCATGCGTTGGTAAGTGTTACAATAGTTAACTTAGATACTCACATGCTACAGAGAAAAAGCACGATGTTGATTGTCTGCATATGCATGGCAAAGGACAGGGTTCGTTCAGCTGAATACATAATTACTCATAAAGTGGTACTTAAATATGAAAAGTAGCATTGTCATGGTAACTAATGGTTTGCACATGGCATCATTTGTCGACATTTGGATGAGAAGACCGGCTTCCTCTTAAAAGCTAAAGTACGAGTGATTGATGAGAGCTAATAAGCCAGAAACTGCTATGCCAGTCTCGTTTGTCTTTTTCGGTAATGTATTGTTAAAAAGCTTCTACGGATGTCCATAAACAACATCCTCGTGCCCTGTGTCCTGTGTATAACGTTTGTTTCAGGCTGCATTATAGCAGTACGTAGCTCAAATGAAAGCAATCGTGGTTCGATAGTCTTGGTCATTTGCACGGTTGGGTTCAGAC